GGATAAGAAAAGTCCACTAATGTTGGTAAGGGTATTCATTAAGTATTAAGAATTCATCTCACAGTTCAAAGCATTTACATGTATTACTAAAATTATGAAAAGTGTTTTGCTTTTCTGGCACGATGAACAGTTGTGGGGAGGGACGTGGCTTAAGTCTGAGAAACGACTCAGAACATTCACGACCTCGCCTGTTCGAATAAAAAAAAATTCACTTTGTTTGTTGTTTCTCCTTGACCGAGTGACCAAACTATACAATACAAATCAGCCTTGAAACATACATATATCTATAGACCTCGGTTGTACCTTTTTCATTTGGCTACCCCAAAACGCATCTAGCATTAAATCAAAAAATAATATATAATCAGTGTTCTGAATTATGTACTGGTAATTGCCGAGATTTCGGTAACCGGGTACCTTCGCCAGGGCAAGCAGATTCAGTGTTGTCTGCTTGTGTTTTTTGTTTCTTGTCTTTTCTGTCCTTTTTACGGTACAGTGGTCATCCATTTAAAAAGGCGCAAGGTCGAATTCGAAGTAAAAGACAGTAGATCCGCTTTGGGTGATGTACTAACTGCAACCGTAGGGGTTAACTGTAGTGACACAGGCACGTATGTCGCGCAGGCGTGCGTTAGTTTCAGCTTAAGCAAGAAGCTTAAACAACATTAAGCAAGCTGTAACTTGTGAACTGATGTGCACATAACATAAGTTCAGTGGACTGAATCTGCTTGCCCTGATGAAGGTACCCAGTTACCGAAAGCTCGACAATTACATAATTCAGAGCACTAGTTATATAATTTATTTTTGTCTATAATCTGATCACGGTGCAACGCAGCCCTTTCATATTTTTCTGTAATCAATTCAGTTCAGTTCCATGTTTATGAAAAGCGAGTGTCGGAGCGGAACGTGCGCAATTACCAAATTTGGAATTGTATCCCCCATCAAAAGGAGTCTGGACTCACTAGCAAAGATAGCCACGACATAAATCTTTGACAAATCAAAGTGGAGTCTCTGTCAATAATGTCTTTTCCTTAGTCTAAGCCAGAAAATTGCACCGCCCTTCAAAACAAAACAAGCAAATAAAAAGGGAATCTTTCTATAACACATAATGACTCGAAACACAAATAAATTAATAAGTTAGAACAGATTTACCGAATGTTTATGCCTTGTTTGTTGTGTTGAAAGCAAGAATGGTGTGGAACTCTTGTGGCAGAAATTTAACGAGGTCCTCGTAAGCGATGGTCTCGAACTTTTTCAGAAAGTCTCGTTTTTTAATGGCAGCCTCAGTGGTAAAGTAGGAGAAATGCACAACAAAGGCGTGTCCAACGACGCAGTTCGGGTTCTTGACTTTCCTGGAGTATTTGACCGTCAACCAAGCCTCGTCATCGTTGCCAATG